CATCCTGCACCTGGGGTCTTGCCTGGTGTGATAGACTCCAGCCTTCTGAATGTTGGAATACTGAGATACCTGTTGTTTGGGCGTCAATCTGGATGCTGAGTATCGAAGATTGCATAGGTCCCTCATCCTGTTCATGCACAGGGTTCGTACGGGTGCTTGAAATCCTTGAAATGCATTTTAACAAGGTTTGAAAAGTGCGTGAATTTCAGACGTGGTGCTTAAACGTGCGTGAAACTGTATTTCAGTCACCACAAATAACTATGTGACGAATAGTTTTCTTATCAGATAGAGAAATAAAATGAGCCGCAAACTGTAAAAGCAACATTTCTCCACCCTGCACCTCCGCATGTCAGTCGATGCGTGGCCCCGCCCCTCCCCCCGGACAGTCAGGGATGAGTGCACTAACCTGACGTTGCTGTTTTAATGAGTGTTTGATGGAAAACAACACTCTTGAGTCACATGACAGGTGAGTCCTAATAACTAATTTTCGAGTATGTGTACATAACACATGCTAATGTTTAAAACTATTATTATTATTTACATGAGATTTTAGCTGAGATTCAGAGGTTTCTGTGGACACTACTTATATTTCTGACCTCGTGATCTCCTTCGTCTTGCCCCCGTTTTTGGTGGTGGGGGTGCTGAACTAGTTAAAATAAACATCTGTCTCCTACGTTTGTGTCACACAGGAAAGAAGCATCAATATCTGATGAGCAGACGTATTCATTTGTGCAGATTTCTTGTTCTGTGTGGTTGGTTTTTTTTTTTTTCAAGTGGAAATCTAAAAAGTTGATTTGTTCACATTTGCACATCTTAATTTTTAAGAGAAATGTGTTTTTTGAGTTTGCTGTGACTGAAATGCTGTCAAGTTCAGCTCAAAGCTGAAAAGATCAAAGATGTGATCCGTCTGTTTGCATGAAGACAAAACACCAACCTCGTTGTCTACATAAACCTTTTCTTCAGCTACGCAGCTTCAGCTCAGCACATGTCATTTTCCTCAGTTTGTCTTCTGGTGGCACAAAGTAAGTTTGGAAGTTTGTGTATTTCAGGAAGGCACGTCGGCAGTGGACAACCTGAACGAGATGCAGTGCATGTGGTTCCAGACAGAATGTGCCTCGGCCTACAAGGCGCTGAACAAGTGCGGAGAGGCCCTGAAGAAGTGCCATGAAATTGAGAGAGTGAGTTCATCGTTCATATTCACACGTTCTAGCCAACTGCTAACGACAAACATTTAAACCTTTTCTACGATATCCTCCGACCTCTCTAATCCAGGTGACAATCTCTGGCTTAAGAAAAATAAAAGATTTCCAAAAACATCACAGATTGCAGCACAGTGTTACCTTTCAAGTTCAGCTAATTTCCACAAAGTCTTAATCCCAATAACTGAGACGACCTAAAGTTATCATAAAGTTTTCTGATTACCTGCTGATCACAGCTGCCCCCTTCTTCTCTTCATCAGCATTTTGTGGAGATCACTGACGACCAGTTTGACTTCCACACCTACTGCATGAGGAAGATGACGCT